AAGATTGGTATCTTTCACTTTGTATCTGAAGAACTTAGTGCTTAGAACTTGATGGTTAAGCACATGGAGGCCACAAGTCAAGCTGCCTGGCTTTAAATTCCAGATCAGCTCGGATCATTGGCTAACCTAAGAAATGTGAATGAATAAGAGAAGATTCCAAGAAGCTCAGTGAGAAGTAATTATCTGGGAAATTCAAAGACCTGAGCATATGCCTCAGCTACTGCCAAGTTAGAGAAGCTTGGTTAACAGATTTTCCCACTGAAGCCCTAAAGTAAAGACCATGTCCCAGGACTAAGGAATTTGCCTTGAACTAAGAACAGAATCAAAACAAAACCTCTGCAAATTTAAGCTGCAAATTTAGCCAATAATTTAATTGTCTGCTGGAACAAAGCCCATGCTTCAGAGCTTCTACAACATAGCATCCATAAAGTCTAACATGTAGTAAAACATTATTAATCATATGAAAGAACAAAAAAAGTGACATGTGGTCAAGGAAAAGGCAGTCAAATAGAAAGAGAGCACATAATGACCCAGCATTGAGATTAGCATGTAGGAACTATAAGATACTTATTCAGTTCAAAGACTTAAAGGAAAAGATGATCATATTAAATGAGCAGATAAAGAACTATAGCAGAGAAATGAAAACCAGTATTAATAAGCGAATATAAATTCTGAACACAAAAGCAAAATGTCAGAAGTAAAAAGACCCACAAGATGGGTTTAATAGCAGCCTGGAAATGGTAGAGGCAGGGTAGGTAAGCTTGAATGTAGCTTGATGTCCAATGTGAGAACCAGAGAGAGCAGAACTTCAATGACTTGTGTGAACAATACCAAGCAGTCAAACATGTACGATATTGAAGCCTCAGAAGATGAAAGAATAAAGTAAAAAAAAGAGAAAATAATCACAAAAGTTCCCAAATTTGTTTTAAAACATATTTTTACAAATTCAATGAGAGCAAGTAGCATAAACAAAAAAAAAGAGAAAATGCTTATGTATGATAGTCAAACTGATAAAAACAGACTAAGAGAAAATCTTATAACCATTCAGAGAATGATACTTATGCACAGAAATAAACAATTCAAAATTTTGATAACTTTTCATTAGAAATAATGACAATCAGAAGACAACGGAATAATGTCTTTAAAGTGCTGAAAAAAGCCAATTCATAATTCTATACCTAGCAAAAATATCCTTTAAAAATGGAGATAATGTAAAGATACTTTGAAATAAATGAAATGAAGGCTAAGAAAGTACATGTAGGCTCGGCACCTGTGGCTCAAGCAGCTAAGGCGCCAGCCACATACACCTAAGGTGGTGGGTTCAAATCCAGCCCGGACCCGCCAAACAACAATAA